ACTAAAATATACTGCAAGACAGTCTCTTTCATTTTACCTTTCAAGATCTGTGTTCAGCATTCCACATTTCTTTCATAATACTTGATAGTATTGCAACCATTTATCCTTGTGAACACATGGTTACTGCAGAAGAAATACTGAACTCTGAACCGAGTTTTCCGCTAACAAATAAAGTAGAAATTGATTGTACAGTCTGTTCACTAGCAGCTTTTTCTACACCTTTAAGAAAGTGAATTGCAAATGCACAAATAGGGTGGAGCCATGTTTATGTTACTCTGGCACTCGCCCCCCCCACATCTTATCCCCACCTCCAGTAAACTGGATGTGTGGGAACACTAGTGGAATACCTACTCCCCCATCTCTGGTGACGGAATGCCTGGTGATAGCTTCAATCAACCATGTCCTTTCCCTTATTTCCCTCCTCTGACATGCCTCTCTCTCTCTCTCTCCACCTCTCAAACACAGACCCAAACACACAAGTGGGGAGATTCTAGTGCAGGAAGCAGCAGAACTGGCTGAGTCACAACTGCCATCTTTTGCATCAGTAGAGGTTCCCTCTACTTCAGGGCAATTGGTGTCTAGATTTCTTCAATCAACCATGTCCTTTCCCTTATTTCCCTCCTCTGACATGCCTCTCTCTCTCTCTCTCCACCTCTCAAACACAGACCCAAACACACAAGTGGGGAGATTCTAGTGCAGGAAGCAGCAGAACTGGCTGAGTCACAACTGCCATCTTTTGCATCAGTAGAGGTTCCCTCTACTTCAGGGCAATTGGTGTCTAGATTTAAATTTACTTTGGGATATGTAAGAATAAAAAGAGCTCATAGCTCACAGAACTAGTTCCAATATCCGATGTACAGGTGTCAACAGAATTTGGTCCTTTAATCTTCAATAAGCAGAATGATGATCAATGACACTAGAAACTGACATCCAAGGAATTCTGAAATCATACCCGGCCTTCTCTGTTAATTGCCTTACCCTAACTAATTCCTGAGGAAAAGGCCCTCTGGAGTTTTCTGGTAAATTGATTGGAGGGATGACCCAGTCTCTCTTCTGTCTCTGCAGATGACTGCTGTGCTTATGTTGTTGCCGTGGAAATACTATTTCTTCAATTTTCTTCTGATCCTTACAAACATATATTAGAATAAGAATTAGTAAAGATGTTATACTGAAGAATAGTTTTCATACTGCCTGACATGCACTCTTCATTTAGGGTTGCCAGATGGATTCACAAAAAATACCGCCCTCCCACCCCCCAAAAAGCTGGGGGGGAAGGGACCAGGGCTGAAATGCAATTGTGGCCCCTTTAATTCCCAGGCTGCTCCCGCCTCCTTCCGCCCCAGCCAGCTTGTCCCACATGGCCTTCCGTGGGGTGCTCGAGCCGGGCCTTGAGAAACAAAAAATACCGGACATTTTAAATGTCCAGTATTTTCTGAAATTTTTTATTGGATGAGAGGTGCAAATACCGGGCTGTCCGGTTCAATACTGGACAACTGGCAACCCTATCTTCATTCCATGTTCATTAAGCTATTTATTGAATTTTCAGTACAGTATGGAAATAAATAAGATTATTAATTTATCCTTGGAAATAATGGCAATTCCTTTATTCTTCATCATGCCACTTGGAGATAAGCTGGAATGATAAGCAATTTATTATCTGGTACTGCTGTGTAAATGACTTTGCACTTTCTATATTCCAGCTGGATAGTAGTTATATTGTGCACGCATTTTAATAGGATGCCTTTAAAATCTCATTAATTGGAACTACAGTTCAGGTAATGTGCTACTGTATATTAAATTGAGATCTGGGTTTGCAAAAATATAATTTGAGTTCTAAGAAAAGTTTAATACATACTGGTAAGGAATGTCTGAAATATTTATGACCTTATTAAATCGCATAGAATTAATGCTGTAATTATTTTAAACCTGTGTCACCCATGATGGATGTTGTAGATGACCCACTTTGCACAGTGGACATTAATCTCTGCTGGGTGTCAACATTTCCTTTATATTCCTTTCTACATCTGCAGTTATTTCAGCAGTTAGCTCTTGATGCATATGTGCACACAGACATGCTAGTCTGGTCAGGAAGATTCTCTCCCCCTCCAAAAAATACATTCTTTGGAGAAAAAATAGTTGTTTCTAAATGTGTCAGAGGTGAAAAATCACAGGTGCAAACTGAAAGCCAGTTTCTGCTATTCTCACTCCCTCTGAATAGTGCTTATCAGCGAGTAGCACCAGACTAGCCAGGGTGCTTATTTAATATCAGACACTACATGCTTCTTTATTAAAACTTGTCCTTAAATGTCTCAAAACCTCACAACAATTGCTTGTCTTAGAAAGATATTCAGCATAACCTAATGCAAGCTATACATAAGTCTTTGATTTGTATTATTTTACAATGGCTATATCAAGCTATGAAGAGTATTTAATTTTTTAAAAGATGCTTTGTAAAGGGATGTAAAAAGCAGGCAGTAGTGAAAGGGGTGAGGGTAGCATAATTATCACATAATATTTTACTACAGTGAGTATATTAGGTTAATTGCATATTGGCAGGTTCAATTTTGTGTTACTTTGGCTTGGCTTATATTGGTTTCCACCAGAGGGAGACTATCTTTCCTAAAAGTAATGCTGGAATCATAAATAATTTACAGCCCCCAATTTGATTACTAAGGGACAATACAAACCCAATACTCTATGCCATGAATGCTTTCCTACTATTGTGGTAAATCTACAGCTCCAGACTAATCTTGACTGATGGATTCTAGCACTGAATTGCTTATTTTGTGGTTAAATTTAACTGCTTGAATAAATACTGCAGTGCTCTCAAGCAATTATTTAAAATAAAGAAATGACCACTTCCAATTAAAATTCAGGTACAAATCTCAAACTGTACAAACAAAATGTTCAAATACAAAGGATTTCTGGATCTGTTTAAAGATCCAGGTTTCCATGACTTTAGCAGGACTACAAAACAATAGATTATGGAACATTATTTGTAAAGCTTTACAATTAATTATTTATGCACTAGTTAGTCAAAAGCAGAAAGTCAGATGTGGAGGTGAGTGACAGATATAGTCTAAAACCTACTGTTAGAGATATTTCCAAAGGCAAATGTTTTACCTTCACTGAATGCTCTGTAAATGCTGGCTCAGAGCTGAGCTTCACTACCACTTGCCACTGTTGCTGGGTTTCCTTGTCTTGAGCGTAGACGACGAATTCTGTGGGCTCCACAGAAAGCTGAAAGCTTCTTGCTGCATATACCACACCATCGTCATGTACTCTAAAGTCTGCTGGTGCGCTGCTTTCAAACTGTATTTTTCTCTTTTCATCACAGCTTCTAAACCCCACTGTAAAACACAAACACCATCATGGAGGTAAGAATTGCAAGAGACAGAGCCCGCTTAAATTCAGTCATGAGCTGGTTTGAGACGGTCAAGAACAAAAACCTGTGTCTTAAAAGACTATTTGTTGCAGTCACAATAAACTCCCTGCCATTATATGTTAAGTGCACACATTATTTGGGAATTAATACTATGAATTTTATGGCTCAGCCCCTACAATAGTGGCATCTTTCAGAGAAGGAAGACTAAGCTCCTTTCCCCAGTCTGACTGCCTGTCTTCCACTACAAAGATCTTGTGCTCCACAACCAACACCCCTTTTACACAGGAGCAGAACTAATACAGCCCCCAATCTCTGACCTTGACTGAAATCACTATCACTAATAAGGGTATGTTGTAGCTGATCTAAAGGAAATTAAAGGTAATAGGGGAATAAAAAGAAACCTTGGGGCTCTAACACAGAGGAACTAGTGTCAAAGGGAATCTTTTTTTTTAAGAAAGGACATGCCTTTTTCATATCCAGAGTTAGTCAGATTTCACTGCAACCCCATTAAACTTTCTACAGAGAATAACAAAATAAGTGCAAAAAGCACATGCATTTTGTTGTTCCTATTATGGACACCTAAAATTATAGAAAAGGATGGAGTGGGATGAAAGTAGTCAAACTGCTATCATGGACTGAAAAAAAATGCCCTGGACATTTTTAATACGTGGCAATCATCACAACAAACTTGATATAGATTCAGCACCTCCAGTGCTAACAGCAGTGAAGGAAGTAACAGCACAGAGGTCAGTTCCCAACACATGGTATTAGACCTACTTTCTATTCCTGTGTCTGCCGCTGACATGCTGTATTACTGTTTCAGTTTCCCCATTTGTAAAAGGGGAATAATAATAATAATAAGAAGAAGAAGAATACACTTATTTCACAAAAATGGACGCAATTCACCTTAAATCCAGTCAATTTCAGAAAGTAAACTAAAAGCTACTGCATGTAAATGATTTAGAGAGAATTAGTAAAACAATATACATACAATACTGTAAAAGTACAACTGAAGATGTGATCATCTTCATTTCTAGTTATTTTCAGTGTTACTTGTAACAATAGTAAGTAAAGTACATAGTGTAGTTTATTAACCGATAAGCAAAAGCTTATAGGTTAATGCTATAGACTACACACATTTCCTCCCCCTCTCTTTGCACATACATTTTTAGCAGGGTAGCCAGCAGCCCAACTCAGTCCTGGCTCACAGCATGTCCAAGACCTATCCCTGCTGTGGCTTTGCATTTAAAGAAGCCAGGTGGGCAGGCGGCCCGGCTCAGTTCTGTAACCGCCCCACCCCCCTCAGACAGGGGCTGCCGCCACCCCATGCTGTGCTGTGTGAGGCAACAGGCAGCCAGCCAGTCCATGAGGGTAACTGTTTTTTTAAACTGGCTCCCCTCGTGGACCAGCTCCCACCTGGCATCCCATGCTGATGCCTCTGATACAGAGGGAGCAGCACAGAGTGGCAGGAGGCTCCTCGGGATTGGGGATGGAGTGCGCTGGCTGCCGGCCTTGTCTCCGGATACTATAGAATAGTCAACTAACCGATAAAAATGCATGAGATTAATCGACTATTCAATTAATATCCCTACATCAGATGGAAATCTGGCTTTATAACTGATAATTTTCTTTTAATATTTTCAGATCATCTTGAGACCTTTAGAATGTAAGAGCAACATAAGTGTAAGGATTATTAGGAAGGTTGAGCTGAAATGTAGATAGTGAAAAGTTGAATCCTGTCCCTGTGCCACATGTTAGTGCTCAACTAGACACTGAAATGAACGGTGCACAGACGACACGACTCCAAAAATCTGAATGTCCCTCTTAAAAGAAATCTCTGCTAAATGCTGCACCACATTATTTAAAAAAAAAAAAAAAGACAGTAACTATAGTAGAGTTGTCAGAAGAAAAGATTATAATTTTCGGTACTTGAACTCCCAAGGACTGAGATGGACATTCAAATGACATAAAATTAGTTCTCTCACTAATCCTTTTGTATTATTCAGGGTGTCCCACATGCTTCCCTTTGACCTTCTACGCACCCCCCCCCCCGACTCCTCATGATGTTTTTTCAAAAACCAGAAAATTCAACAGAAATGTTAACGCAGCTGCTCTCTGAAGGAAAATTAAACAAGAATGGGCAGTTAGCTGTGATGGAACATAGGTCTCCATCACCCGTTCCGGCAGTTAAATCTGCTTGGGTTGTTTGGGGAGGGGAGAGAATCTGTTTGAGGAATAATTCATGAAGTTCCCACACCATTCAATTGGGGGCAAGGTTAATTTTCTTCAAGGAAAAAGGCACATGAATGGCCATTAGGGTTGCCAGGTGTCCGGTTTTCTACCAGACAATCTGGTATTTGCACCGTCTGCCCCCGCCCGGCTTCTGCTGGCAAGTAAAGGGAGCGCCAGCTGGGGGTGGGGC